GTTCACACGATTCTCCTGCCTCAGCCTCCGGAGTAACTGGGATTACAGGCGCACACCACCACACCCGGTTAATTTTTTAATTTTTTAGTAGAGATGGGGCTTCACTATATTGGCTAGACTGGTCTCGAACTCCTGCCCTCGTGATCTGCCCACCTCAGCCTCCCAAAGTTCTAGGATTACAGTTGTGAGCCACGGCGCCCAGCCAACAATCAGGGGCATTCTCGGCTTGTGGCAAAGGTTGGAGTTGGGCAGGGAGGACCCAGTAAGTAACTGCAACAGGAGAGTCCTTTTCACTTTCTTAGGTCACACACCAGGGTGTGGTCTAGGCCTTCAGGGCCTCTGGGTATTCCTGGGGCAACAGGGAGTCACGGAGGGTTAGGGAGAGAGTAACCCCATCCCTGAGAGGCACATTTTTCCTAATCCGACCACCCGATAGCTCAGACTCTGCCTATACAGCAGCCTCCCCTCTGGCCTTCTTATTGGCTACTCATGCCTCCCTTCACACCACCTACACCATCCGCGCCGGCTTTGTTCCCCCCCCCCCCCCCCCCCCCCCCAAGCCCACCCTCCATCCTACTACACTTTCTAGCCTCGGCATTGGTTCAAGCCATACTAGCACTGCCCTTTGAGGGCTCGCCGCCTTCACCCTGGCTCTCTCATTGGCTATCCGCCATCTCTCTTCCTCACTCCTGCCTTCAGCCTCCACCTCCATTGGCTCGGCCACCTATGGTCCCACCTCCGTGGCCGCTGACACACCCGCCTCTTGGGCTCTTTTTAGCTTTCATATTGGCTAGTTCCTCCTCGACACCGCCCCTTGAAGCCCTAGTGCACGCTCACAAGACTCCCAATTGGCTCGCTGTAGCCATTATCGTCACTCCGTGCGCGGCTGTTCATTGGCTGTTCTCTGTCTCTAGCTTCTGTTCCACTGCCTACGCAACCCGCGGGATCTCCCACTTTTCGGGCCTCTGCGTTACTTCCCGGCTGCCCTCATTGCCTGTAGCCATTCCACTTTTCCCACCGCCCACATGTCGCTCTCGCTCAGACTTCCGCATTAGCTTCCCTGCTTCTGCTATCTTCATCCTGGATCCCGCACCACCCTATTCCGGCCTTTTCATTGATTCCCCGATCATCCCGCCCCCTACACCGCCCACTCCCGGGCATCCCCATTGGCTGCGTGCTTCTCCTGCTCTCAATTCACTGCTACGTCATCCGCGCGTGGCTGCCCATTGGCTCTCTGCTATACCTGTCTTCATCTCGCCGCCTACGCCCCCGTGAGCCGTATCCTCCCGCGCTGGCCTTCCTATTGGCTGCCCGCCCCTTCAGGCCCTGCCCCCGCCGGTCCCGCCGCCGGTGCCGTCGGTGCCGCCGCCGCCGCCGCCGCCGATATGGCGCGTACGGCCCCTGTGGAGCCCCCGCTGCGGCATCCTGCGCCCCCCTCGCCAGCCGCGGGTGAGCCCCGCACCTCGGTCGAGGCGGCGGTGGCCCCGCGGAGGGTGCTGTTCGCCGACGAGGCCCTGGGGCTGCCGCTGGCGCAGTTGCGCCGCTACCGGCCGTGGGGCGGGCCCGGGGCGGGCAAGATGGCGGCGGCAACCGGGCAAGATGGCGGCGGCGGCGGGGCCGACGAAGACGACGATGGCGAGGATGGGGATGAAGGGGAGGAGGAAGAGGAGGCTTGCCCCGAGCCCTCGCCGCTGTGCCCCGTCCCCGCTGGCGGGGGTTTTTACTTGGTCCCCACATTTTCGCTGCCGCCCGCGCCGGGCCGTCTGGAGCGCTTGGGGCGCGTCATGGTGGAGCTGGAGGCGCTGCTGCCGCCTCCTGGAGCGGTCCCCGGGGGTGCCGGGGTGTGGGTGCCTGGGGGCCGCCCGCCAGTGCTGCGCGGGTTGGTACGCGTGCTGAACCGCTCCTTCGAGAAGGCGGTGCACGTGCGGGCCTCACACGACGGCTGGGCTTCCTTCTGCGACCACCCAGCGCGCTACGTCCCGCGCAGCCCGCCGTGGGCAGGAGCGGGAGGAACAGGAGCAGGAGATCCCATCCTGGATCCGGGGCTCGGCCTGGGCCCCGGCCAGGCGTCCGCCTCCTCGCCCGACGACGGCGGCCGCACTGACCGCTTTGCCTTCCAGCTGCCCTTTGCTGAGGGCGCGGGCGATGGGGCGCGCCTCGACTTCGTGGTGCGCTATGAGACCCCCGAGGGCACTTTCTGGGCCAACAACCACGGCCGCAACTACACAGTCCTGCTCCGGATCGCACCCGCTCCCACACCCACTGATGCCGAAGGGCTGCCCCAGCAGCAGCAGCTGGAGCCACAGCCCGAGTGCCAGGGTCCCGTGGAGGCTGAGGCCAGGCAGCTGAAGAGCTGCATGAAGCCGGTGAGGCGCAGGTAATGTCAGCCAGCGCCACCTCCGCCAACGCAGGGCTGTGTCTGGGATGGAGGACAAGCATTCCGACCCAGGAACCCCTCAGGCCTGCTCTCCAGGACAGGGAGGAGGGTGCATTGAGTCAGTTAGTCAAAGAGTGATGGAGATCAAACATGTGCTAGGCACTGTTTAACTGGGGTTTTATTCATTCATTTATTGAGTTCCACTGTAAAGCCCTGAACAAGACAGACATCTACCCTGCCCTCAAAGATTCATACAGGCTCCTGTGGGAGACAGTTTGAACAAACAAGCGAGGAAGCAGATAGGATAAATAGGGACAAAGTTAGCTGCTGAAGGGAGTAAGGGGTTAGGTTGGGA